ACGCGCAGCTGCCCGTGGATGTAGCATACGCCTACTATCAAGGTCTCCTCCAACAGCAGAGGGATGCCCTAGCTTCAGGAACCGACATCGCCGCTTTAAGATGGGCATTAGACGGCGATATGTTTCCCAACCTACAAAAGATCACCTTAACCCCCCTCGCGCATGGCGTCCTCTTCACGCCTCTGTACCCTACACCCATGATTCGGAAATTTCCACACGGCTTCAACTACCCGATCCCCCGCGGCTGGCCCGCATCGCCCGATCCTTGGACAATGGGCGCCGAGAGCTGGGACAGCGAGGATGTCAAGAATAGGTGGCGTGGCTTCCGCCTCGTGACTGCACTCTTGGCGCAACAGACGCGAGCCAAGGTCCCGGAACTCGTTATCGAGGGCAATCAGATCGGGTCAGGCCTGACAGCTGACATCTTATCGAGAGACGAAACGTGCAAAGAGTATGACGATCTCTTCGCGTTGGTCCATGAGCCGGGGTTCTCCGCGCTCACATTGCATCTAATGACGGGTGGCCAGGAATGGAAAAGCTATCATGCCTTCCGCAACGGTCGTCTCCGAAAGCTGTTGTCTGCGAATCTTCGAAGGATCACATTGGAGTTGGACCAGGACCGAAATTACGATTTACAAGAAGATTGGGGTAATGCAGGTCGCCCGGATCTCTTCGTTCCGCTGCGCTCCGTCTTCCCGGTCGATTCGTGGACGCAGTTGACACACTTTGGGCTATCAGCCTTCCTCGTCAAACAACAGGATCTCCTCGATTTCCTGGGGGCGCTACCGGAAACACTTCAATCTGTCGAGCTGAGTTCCCTTTGGTTCATGAAAAATTCCGGGAGCTTCAGGGGCCTGCTTGAGGGTATCCGTGACGAGCTTGACTGGCGCGGGAGATCCGTTCGACCTCGTGTTTCCGTCCGAGTTAACTCGGACGCTCATGTCGCGGCGCGAAAAGTGTGGCTCGACAACGAGGTAGGGAATTTTATCTATGGCAACGGCGAAAACCCCTTCGTAAGAGATTTCACAGGCTACGGGCTTCAAAGGGGGGTCGGCATAGAGAAAGATGCGTTCGAGCCGAGATTTGAGCGACCGTATGCCTCGCGTGACAAAATGGTGGCTTTGGGGCACTGGCGATCCAATGTGTAGGGGTGGCGATGCTCTCTGAGGGAGGGCTCTTGAGCAATGTGTCTATCTAGATTTCTATATCATAGTAAAGTAAATAGCGTCACGAATCAACAATATAGTGGCAAGCGATACTTTCAGCTTCCCTAGCATTCTTGAATTTCAATCTTCGTCAAGGTCAGTTGTCAGACTAGTCGAGTTTTTCTAAGTGGTGAACATACCAGACTTCGAAAAATGACACGAATTAGGCAGATCGGTAATCGTACCCATTTACGACTGTTCAGACTTCAGCAGATCGAGCTGAAAACTGATGTTGCACCAAGTGTCCTTCAAAGCACTGCATCTCGTATGCTGCCGTCATCGTAGTACTGACTAAGCTTCACATAAATTCAGCGAGTCACCGATCATGCGACATCTTACAAGTGCGACTGTATCAATAAACCGAAGGAATGCTTGTGTGCTTTTATATCTGCGTGTACGCGGTGAGATGTAATACCTACATTCATCACCTAAGGTACCTACGCTGTCATAAGCGGGTCGATCTCACGTTTTCCTGCTCTTCTCTTTCTGTGAATGACAGCACAATTCTCTTGAACAAACCACTTCAGTCCCACAAAATCCATTTGCAAACGGATCAATGGCATCTGCAGCGTTAGATAACCAGGAAGTCTCGCCCGACTCAATTCCACCCCCCTCGCCCTCATTACCACCATCATACGATGACGAAGGCGCCCTCAGTGTTGCAGACGAACTCGAAACCGAAGTAGAAACGAGCCAGAGTCAAAGCTTCACGACCAACATCACTCCCATCAAGTCGAACAGGCGGCCTGACAATGAAAAATCATCCGGGAGACAGATGAGCATGGGGTTGTTTTCTCTAGGAGAATACCACTGGACCATTGAGATTGCGGCAATTGTTCTCAGTATCTCTTCCATGGTAGCTATCCTCATCTTGCTGCCGATGTACGAGGATCAGCCTCTATCTGCTTGGCCGCTGCCAGTGCCCCTGAACGTCATCATCTCCGTTCTTGGTGCCACATCGCGAGCATCACTGGCGTTTGCCATCAGTGCTTGTATCAGTCAGGGGAAATAGAACTGGTACAGGAAGAGAAACGACAGCGTCATGGTGTTCGATCGCTGTGAGGAAGCTAGTCGCGGGCCTTGGGGAAGTCTTCGCCTGCTGTGGTGGACCAAGCTGAGGTATGTCTATGTGCACTATCGTGGACCCAGAGTTTCAAGATTGATCAAAATTCCAGGCACTGGACAGCTCTTGGTGCTTTGGCCGCCGTAGTTCTGGTTGGTTTTGAGCCGTTCTTGCAAGCGGTCGTAACTATCTCCGGTGAAGAAACCGTGCTCGCAGCGGCGGGGAACACTAGCATTATTGGGAGAACTACAACCTTGGACTCCGGAGTCTGCCAATCAGACGGAAGCACCGCAACCCTACAAGTTCCCATGCCAGAGCCGTGGGATCCTCTATTTATTAACCCTTACCTCAGGCTGGACGACTTTGGCGCCCTGTCAGCTATATGGGAGGGCTTCTCCGACCTCAACACCGCCGAAAACCAGAAGCCAACATTTTACTGTTCCTCAAGAAACTGCACATGGCCAATTTATGCATCTCTGGCGGTTTGTAGCGCTTGTAACGACGTGTCAAGCCATATCACCAAGTTGAGTGGTGGAACGCTTGTCAAAAACAAGACCAAACCCGCGTTCACCTTATCCAACTTGCTACAACCAACCATGACAGCGGAGTTATGGCCCAATTTCACAAAATATGAGATAAAAAGCCAGAACTTGATGATAAACAGGCACAACGGGTTTAAGTCCGGCTGGGATGCCCCGCCGCAACTGGTTGCAAGATCAACACACAATCCAGGAGAAACCGTCTCCTTCCGCAATTTAAAAACTCTAATTATTTCCTTTTCCACGCTGAAATCAAGCAAAATATTTTCTTCCGGAAGAGAAAAGTGGGAAAACAGTCCTGCAACAGCAGAAGAGTGTGCTCTTTACTTCTGCACCAACATATATCGGTCTACAGTCGAACAAAGCGTGCTAAGAGAAGACATACTCGGTTCTTTTTCAAACCGTAATCTTGACTCTTATGCGGTCGACACCAGCAGCAAGTCACCAGAACTAAGTAGAGCCCTGAACCAATACCTCAATTATACATTGTTGTGGGGAAACGATATGGTGTGGCACACGGATTTGCAACTCACGATATCTCAAGAAGAGTACCTTTCTGCGACCAAGACTAGTACAGGGGACGATTTGAGGTTCAATATCACCCGTAATACCACATATACACTACTAGGGTTTCTAGACGAATTTTCACGACGCTCGGATCTCAGCGATGCGCAACTTATCTACCCCGACCCCAACAATGATAAAACCCTACCGGCTGTCATAGGCATCATAGGCACGTCACAAAACCTGACAGAAACATTTGAAAACGTTGCTGCTAGCCTTACCAAATGGATACGAAATCGTTCCATGCAGACCGAACCTTTCTTGGGTAAAAGCACGGAATGGGTCATTCGAATTAGAATTAGTTGGGGATTTTTGACTTTGCCAATCGGCGCACTTCTTGGGGGTTGTCTCTTTTGCCTGCTCTCGATGTGGGAGACTCGACAGGTAGGACTGCCAGCTTGGCGGGGAAGTTCACTGGCAACTCTGGCACATGGTCTTGACACGAAATCAAGAGCGATTCTTAGAGAAGCGAGTGACAGTGCGCAAATAGCCACCCGGGCGAGGGGTCTTGAAGTCAGGTTTGAGGACTCGGAAGGGGGACCAGAGCTGACACACGATATTGATGAGACACATAGGACTCATGGCCCAGCCTGAGACATTTGGCAAACACGTATATCTTCCGCTCCATAGTAGTTTACGCAAGCAGGGTTACTAGGAGCATATCGCTCGTCCCTGCTGAAAAAGGGCGACCAGTGCGAGGAAACAGACTTCAAGTCTCATTCGCCATCTCCTGTTACCTGCGGTAAGCCCATCTCTGATGAAGAAAACCATAGTTGACCTGAAGATCTGTGGTCTTCTGTCCGAAAATAATGATTCGTTTGTCAAGGAATTTGCTCTCCAATCGTGCTAATAACACATCGTTAATACTCTCAGCAGACACGACGGCCCGACATGCCACCTAATGATATTGTCAGAGGGGAAAATTCTACCAAATGAGCGATGAGGCTTTGAAATTCCGGGGTCATTGTGAAGCCTGAAGAAGTCGATCGCGATTCTCATGGCCTATATGCTAACTCTGCATCTCAGGGGCACACTTCTCGAAATCCAGGGCGATGGCGCACTAACACCTCCCAAGTGGAATGAGCTAAAGGACCCTGAAAAGTCCTAAAAATGGAAACAAGTCGATGATATTCAATCATCTCTCCCAAATCCAATCACGACGGACCACAAAACAGCCCAGGGCAAAACGTGGTGGAATGTCGTCGGTGGCGTGCAGGTTGCAACTCCAGGAGGGGAGGACCCAAATCCGGGTTCTCGCCCGTTGGGCCCCACAGCGATCGGCCTGCAGATCTCGGCCAGGGCCTGGCCAAGTCCTGCTCACAGCACGGAGCCGCGGAGCCAACCAGTGCAACCCGACCCCATACATGATTTCATTGAGCGTTCTAGGAGGTGAGCCTCAATCCTGCTTGTGTGCCAAGATTTTTGTTGATGGTCGTCAGATGCTGATAAAATGAGTGTGGCCTCCTTGAGCCCCTTGGGCTCTCCTTTATGATGGAAAGGCTCTCCACCCCGTGTTTGGGAAGAAGACCACAGCCATGTTCCATCATCTCTCGCTTTCTTGAACATCTTTTTTTACCATATTTTATCCACCTACACTCGCTCAACATACACTCGCTACAAGCAACGAAGATGACGTCGAGAGATAGTATCGTATGGCTCCCAAAAGAGCTGTACAGTTCCGTCGAGAGATTCGCCGACCCAGAACATTTCATCTGGTGCCCCATGCCCTTCGACGACTCATTACCACTGGAACAAACGTCGTTTATCCATATGAAGGAGGAAGAAGAAGATATCGACATCCGTGAGCCGGTAGTGGAACCCGTATCGAAGAACTATGATCGTAATCGAGATTCCGGCATCGATCTAAGCATGGACTATGAGGTGTCCCCGCCCCCGAGCGTACATATACCAGACGAACCGACAGATCCATCAAGCTCAGAAAGCGAATCCGATAAAGATGTTCCTTCAAGGGAGCCCACACAGGATGCGAACCGAGGGAAGCGAAGGCAACGAAGGCGGCCGCCAATGAGGCACGATTCCCCCAAGCCAGAAGAGCCCAAGGGACCAACGGTTAGGGAGAGTCGAAGCTTTGCGGTGCATTTGGGATTAAATCTCAATGTTGAGGTGTCCCTGAAAGCAAGGGTGTACGGCGGATTGGAGCTAAGCATGCTGGTAAGTGGTTGACTGGCTTTGTCAACTGTAAGAAGGATTGCCGCTGATACCCTGCAAGTAACGAGTTATGACAACGATAGATTCGACGAGACCACGAACGAAGAAAAGGAGAAAATATAACAGTAAGATGAGCCGGAAATATCAAATGCTATGCTTCATTTCCCTCTGGACCTAATTCGTTGGCCATTTCCATGAAGACCACGAAATTTTCCGCTTGGAAAAAGGAAGAAACATCGTTGGAAGCTTTGGAACTGGTTTGGAGTGCATGGGAAAAGGGAGATCGGCAAGTGATGCCATCCCGAGAGGTATCTGTGACCGCCCCGATGAAGCTGCCAGGCGGGACTCAGTCTGCGAACCGAAAAAGACGAAAAGACCAACAAGCATCTTGTAGACATGCTGAGCTGAAGTCTGAATGTCTCTTGATGAACCAATGAAGATCAATCGGGGCAATATGCAATGGAACCGAGAATACGGCGTCGTGGCTGCTGGCTGGCTTGCCTGCAGGCTGCCCCTGCAGCCACAGACCGAGGAAACAATGATAGACAAATACAAGTCATCATGTCGCAGACGCAGGGTCGAGTCACCCGTTCCGTGGAACGTTATTGTACAACACGCCGATCGCGGCGGCGTGGTGAAAAGAAACGTGTTGTCGCAGCCAAGGACGGGTGGTTGTTCCAATCAAGGTTTGCACATCGCTGCGATGTTCCCAGCAGAACCTAAAGACCCCCCAGGAACACTGCCGGGGCACACAGACCGCCCGGCGAATTCCCTCCTTCCCCGTCCCGTTCGGGCCTAGACCGCCGCCACATCTCAGCTGTGGTGGGGTCTCGACGGGCTCCAACAGGCCCAGTCCCTGAGACGCCAGCGGCAGGCCTACAGCGGGCTCACAGGCGTGCATCCCGCTAGGCCCGTTCCTCTCGTTTATCAAGACGCCCGAAGGGCCTGGTGCGCATGGCTAAACCACCTCAGGCGCGCCATCGCGGCGCAGTGGTCGGGTGCATAATCTCCTTTTGGCGTCTCTGCTTTGCTGGCCGGCCGCTGTGTCCGACGCAAAGAAAAATTATTATTACTCCAATGGGCCGGCCGGCGGCTTTGCTAAGGTAGCTGAGGCGAGCTGCGACCTCAGCTTCTTCTCACCTTCTCCCGTCTAGCCTCAGCTTGTTCCCTCCCTCTCTTCTCCTGAAGCAGCCCGACTTCTGCCACCGATATGCTCCCGTTATGAGAACGCGCCGTGTTTGCCGTGAGATTCCAGCCTGATCCCTTAAATCGTCCGCCGTCAGCAACATTGCGGTCGCCCCGATTACGCCAGCGAGGCTTCCGTACCCAATCTCGCGATCTTCATCTTCACGACTGGGCGACACCAGAAGTCACGATCCCGAGACTTGCTCGTCGACTTGCCTGCCAGTAATTACCTCTCAAACCCGTAACCGCCGTCGGCATTGCAATCGAGCTCAAAATGGCCCGCAATATGCTTATCCAGCTCATCGCCTCCTTCATCCTCCTCGCCCTGCTCTCCCCGCTGGCATCCGCGCAGTCCCTATCAATCTACCAGGACTCCGACAAGTACAAGTACCAGGGCTGCTTCAACGAGACCGTCGACCTGGCAGACACGGCCAAGGTGCGCGCCCTCGCCGATGGCGCGAGCAAGACATACCCCGTCGACGGCAACATGACAGTACCGATATGTCTCAGCTTCTGCAACAGCGGAACCGACACCCAGTACAAGTACGCTGGTGTTGAGTATTCTCGGTGAGTCTGCGACACCCGTTCCCCAAATAAGGAGTCATCCCAGGCCTTCGAGCGCGTTTTGCTGACGTGTGAATGTGTCGCAGCGAATGCTGGTGCTCCCAGAGGCTCTCCAGTCTAGCGACGAAGCTCGATGATACGGCGTGCAATACCCCCTGCGACGGAAACCGGGACGTCGCTTGTGGAGGCGCGTTGAAGTTGAGTGTCTACATGATGCAGAGCGGCAGCGCTCGGGTTGCGGCGACGGCCTGGGGCTTGGTGCTTGCTGGCACACTGGCGATTATATCTCTTTAAGAGCTTAATTGGATTTTGCTGAGCGCGTCTGATTTTTTGGAAAACTTCTTAGGAGATACCCCTAAGTTTGGATGGCAATGATCTTTAATCTTTCTCAAGCAGCCGTGAATAGAATAACGATGACACTTGAACTATAGAATCTGTACGGCTTGTGCCTCCCAAACGCCACCCAATGGTATCCTGGCATCAATCGTGAATCATACAACTTCATAGCTTGAGGGGCCCCAAGCCCCTCCGCTCTACGGCCTTCTGGACCGCCGCCTTGATATCCAAGACCGTCCTCCTCCAAGCCCGCTTCCCTCGCCCTTCGCTGCCGTCCTCCTCCACCAACCACTCAAGCCACTGGACCAGTTTCGATGCCTTGTGCATGTCGCGCTCCTCCGTCACGACCTTGGCCAGATACTTCTCAAACATGACGACATCCTCCTGGTGCGGACCCTCCGCCCGAGTCCCGTCGTGCCAGGCCTCGATCATGTCCTTGATCTCCTGCACCGACTTCACCGCAGATCCCATGAAATTGACCTTTGGCGGCGGTGCAGGGAATTGAAGCTTGGTCTGTCCGCCGGGTAAGAAGTCGCTGGCCTCGGCTGGGAGGTGCTTCCGGGGCGCGTTGAAGTTGAGACCGGATTTCTGGGCGAGGCGTTTTCTCCGGTGGTCTTCGATGACTTCCCGGCGGACGTCTTCCGGCAACTCGGCCAGAAACTCCGGGTCCAGTTCCTCTGGCTCATCGTTCTGCGCTGCGGGGGCAGCCCCCTTGCTCGGCAGGAAACTTGTTTGCAGACGGTTTGCTGCGGCATCCTGCTGTCTTTCCCTTGCATTATTGAACAAGTTCCTACCCCTCTTTGTTGGTGTGATTGCTTTCTTTGGCTGGATTATCCTGTCTTTGCGCGGTGACTGTGGTAACCGGGTTTGCGCGCTCTTCCGTCCGTACTGTGCGAGAACCTCCGCCTTCATATCCTCTGGCAGGGCATTGAAGACCTCTGGGTCAACCTGAGATGGGATATCGTTTGGTATCGCAGGGCTCTGGCTCCTTGACTTGGCTTTCGGCGATACTGGTCTAGCTGCAGGCGGTGGCTTCTGGCCCCTCTGCAGCTTGGATCTGATATCGCTGGGCAGCTCAGCCAGCACGGCCGGGTCGACTTGTGATGGCAGGATAAACTGGGTTCCCATGATGTTCAGTGGTGTGTTTGCTTTCTCATCCCTCTCACCGGCTCGCGCCAGTGCCAGGGCTGGATGCACTTTGGGTTTCTTCGGTGTCAAAGGATCGTCTGCAATGGGATCTTGTGCAACACTCCCACGCGCCTGGGTCGTCTTGGGCTTTGAGGGGCTCTTTGAATCCTCAATAGGATCAGCAGCACCCTTTTTAGATGAGTTGGCGCTATTGAAGGTTGGAAATGCAAGCCTGCGTTGACTGCTCTCAGAGCCAGTTGGACCAGTCTTGATAGGTTCGAGTTTCGTCAACTGCACACCGAGACCTCGAAGGTCACCAGGACTGAACCTGTAAGATCGAAGGACCGAAACGGCTTCTTTCGCAATTGTTTCCGCGTTGTGGGTGGCGACACCAAACATCACACTCTTGCTGAAGCTGTCACATTTGCCGTGTCCCAAATGCTTTGCCGGGTCCAAGGGGGCATCTTGGGCCCGGCGCATGATCTTCATGGTGAACTGCTTTCCCTTGACCTGCTCGTTGAGCAGTCGACGCTCAAGCTCCTTGCAAAGATTCAGGACGAATTCTTCAGCTTCCTGCTGATTGATGAAGCGGATGCCCCAGTTGACCTCCGCTGAAACGGATTTTCTGGGGGGATGTTCTCCAACTTCAGCTCGGTCGATGCCACGGGCATACTCCCACAGCCTTTCGCCGGTCTTGGGTCCCAAAGAGGAAGACAGACGCTCCTTTGATACGTTTCGGATGTCTTTGACGTACTTGACTCCGATCTCCTCGAGTTTGCCGCTAAGACTGTATGCAACACCGGGAAGGTCCTTCGCTTCGATCTCTCCGATAATCTCGAGCATTTCCTCAGGCTTCATCAGAAATTGCCCGGCAGGTTTTGCTCGGCGCAGGGCGACCTTTGCTTGCAGGATATTTCCTCCGATGCCGACCGAGACAGCACATCCGGTTGATGCTTTGATATTGTCGCGCAGGCCGCGAGCAATCTGCTCCGCCTTGTCTTGCTCCCTCCAGATACTACCCTCGTCTACACCAGCACCTTCTGAACCGACGCTGGAGAGGACGATGGACGTGATATCAACAAGTGCTTCGTCAATACTGACGCTTTGAACGACTCCGCCAATGTCGAGAATGGCTTCGTAGAAGTGACGGCTGGCTTCTTCATAGGCAGGGAAATCATATGGCAGAACCTTGATATCTGGACACAAATCCAGAGCCCGCTTCATCCACATGCCATTCTTTACACCGAATTTACGCGCCACGTAGTTACAACTTGCAATTTCTGAAGCAGATCCACTGCTATGAGCGACCACGGTCGGCTTGTCGACGTATTCCGGGTTGCGTTTCAAGGAAACGGCGCAGAAGAAGCTGTCAAAGTCGACGTGCATGATGTATCGTCGAGATCCAGCCTTCCTCTTTATGGTTGAGGTGCCCTTTTCCTTGGCAAGCTTCTGCATCTTTGATTTCAATTCGGCCTTCCAGGTCGACAGATGATGGAGCCGGCTCTCGGAGTAGAACTGCTTCAAAAAGTCTGGGTTCGCCGTTGAAGACTTCCACATTTTCGGGTCTGAGAGAAGCCAGGCATTATGTTCTTCGGAAGTCATGTTCTCAGGCATTTTGGAATTTCGTTTCATCTCCTCCTCGATCAGCGCAGGTGTGATCGTGTCTCTCCCATCGTCGATCTTGGGAGCTTCGGGGCTGGGCTGCTTAATCTTGGGCTCCCCAAAAGCTTTGGGCTGCTCGTTAAGTTTCTGGTCCTTAGCAACATGCGGCTGCTTGGTATTGTGCTTCTCGGGTTTTGACAGCTCGGACTTGGATGCTGGGCCCTCGGGAAGAATATCGACCATCAATTC